CGTAAATCATCTGCAAGAGAAGCTACGCTAGATTATGATTGTCCTCTTTCGGATCACCGGTGTTCTTCAGTAGCTTCATTTCTGAGGAGTCAAAAGAAGGTTGTGATTAAATATTCAAGGGTCGTATTATTTATAATTAAGGGAGGAGAAACATATCAGACACAGTGACCATTAAATAATTTATTAATTTAGAGTGAATCCTAGTAGAGCAGCCATACCAAGCCGAGCTAATCGCATGGTTGTTCTGTTTCATCTTTGTATTTTATTTTCGCTGTAATATGTTCTACAATCTTGCCGTTTCTCCAGTTAGGTTCTCATCGAATTGCTTTACTGTAAAACTCAAATGTTTCAACCCTTACTCTGTTGGCTCTTTCAAAATGGCTAAATTCGAGGTTAAAGGCCTTTTTGACAACATATGTGTGAGCGGAGTTCTTTTAATTACATCATAGATGTTGAAAGCAACTAAACATATCAGAAAAAATGGATGTTCACTGCTCAGAGATTTGCCCATTTCAGAAATCCTGTAAGTTCTTCAAGTGTTTCTTTCAAATACAGTAAAAGTTCTTATAAAGCGTCACTTTTAAGCGGATTCAGATAAACGGCGGATTTAGTCATGTTATCAAAAATGATGCTATTTATTTTCTTTTTTTCAAATTTAACTCGATTTATTTTTTTTTCTAAACGAGTTCAAATTTTATATACTTTATATTTCCTCTGAAATCAGTTGTTTCAAATTTTACTACTGGTCATTTTCTACCTAAACAGCTGGGTGGGAATTTACTGCGACAGGCTGCTGGCAGGCGTGGAGTAAAACAGAATGGGAACATTTGTAACAAGCAAGTGATTAATCATGTTGCATGATCATGCATAATTTTTGACAAGCGGTGTATTTTGAACAAGAAGAAACTATGCGTTGCTTTGTAAGTCTGAAAATTTTATTATAGAGATTTTACGAGTCTGTAAGGTTTCTTTGATATATTGTGCCTGCTCCCATTTCCACCATGTCATGCTAACAAATTTCGAATGCTTACAAATGGTGCACATTTTGTTTCAAGTGAGAAATTTTGACTAGTAGTTTTTCTCGCAATAGCGTGTATAATAATTCTGAAAAGTAGTAGATGTTTAAAACAAGTTTAGACAGGACCCGATCTGGGTATCAGCTACAATAATATAATTTGTTACATTTCGTTCATTTTTTCTATCTGAACACTTCAGTAAAAAATGAGAAAAAAACCACGTTATGCCGCTTAGTTAGGTGAGACGACGCCTATTTTTCTGTCTGTACTTTTTCATGGGTTGGTGGTTTGTATGCGTTGACGTGGCCTGCAGAAGGCCATTGTATTTGTGTTGACGAATATCTGTCTGTTTAACCAGGTGGTCATGCGTCAGAGTTGTGCGCCGAACGCAACGCTGCGTTTTTGCCTCATCGGGAAGCCGTGGAGCCACTAAGCAGCCGCCTCGTCTATCCGGGGCCTCAACCTTGGCCGCTATAATGATGGGATGTTTAATATGAATAACGTTGCAAGTTAAAATGACTAGAGTGCTTTCAGATATGGCAAGAAATTTGTTCCCTGGGATTCATTAGAACAATCGAGTAATTTCGGCAGTACAGAGGGCGGGGTGGTACTTCAGTGATAAATTTGTATGTGAGCGATGGAACTGCTGCAGGCAGAGGTGATAAAGACAGCCCTCCCTGCTCGTCTTCAAATGTCGTCTCGACGCTGATGTACGCAGCATTAGAAAATGACAAC